CAACCCAGTGCCATCCCGCACGACCCTCCCCCACCCCAGACTGTCTCCAGCTCCCAGCCTTGATGCCCATCTCAAGCACTCCAGTGCCAGCCGGGACCCACTGAGTCCCAGGGAGGTCTCTGGGGTCACCGAGCCCTGTCACGCTCCCGAGTCACCTGCACCTCTCTGCTTAGGGTATGGCTGGAGCAGGCACAGCTCTGTAAAGGGCTCTGGTTGCTGCGTCCCAGAGCTTAATGCTCCTTCTCCTGGGGAGGCTTTGCTGGCACAGGAGGTACCACCGCGGTCCCAGCTCTGTGCCTCCCCGTGAAGCCCGGCTGGAGGCCGGCGATCTCGTCTCAGCCCATTCACCCCTCTGAGGAGTAGAGATTATAATGGTGTGTTGTATATTTTTTAATTTCCTAAAGGTAACTGTTCAGTCCCCACCTAATTTTACACAGCATGTGAGGGAGCAGAGCCTGGTGACGGATCAGCTCAGCCGGCGGCTCGTCCGTACCTACCAGCTGTACAGCCGGACCAGTGGGAAACATGTGCAGATCTTGGACAACAAGAAAATCAATGCGATGGCAGAGGACGGGGATGTGCACGGTAAGGATGCGTGATGGGGGCGGGTGGAGGGGGGGGGCCAGGGAGGTGTTCGCAGCCCAGCACCGCGATTGATGATTTCCGTCCTGTTTGTTAGCCAGAAATCATTAAAATCGTTCGGCTTGCGGGGGCTTGTAAAGGGAGAACATAGGGGTCAGCGATCAGCGGCTGTGTGATTCAAGGTGAGGGCAGGTTCCCCGTGCTGAGGGAGGGGATCGGTGCTTGCAGGATGGGCTCTGCTCCTTTCTTTTTCATTCTTGGTTTGCACCTGACTCGGAGGGTTCAGGGCTGCAGTGTGCTGAGCAGCACCAGTCATTTCAGCCCAGCTCTTTGCAGGGCTGGGAATCTCCGAGGCTTCCTTTTGGAAAAGAAATAGAAAAGAAAGTTGAAAATGAAAAGGTTGAGGGGGAAAGGGGGAATGGCTGCTTTGGAAACCTTCCCTAAACTAAAACTGTCTGAAGTGGCATTTTCCCGATGTACCCCGTTCCTCTCAAAACAAATCCCGAGCGGAGGGCGAGCGAGGCAGTTGGCTGATGAAGATGCTGCGGCATCCCCAGAGACAAAGCAGGGGGGACTCTGCGGGCACGAGAGCCTGCGCTATGCCACGGCCCCTCAACCGTTGCCCTGGCGTCCCGTCCCCAAAACCTCTGTGTGTCCCCCCCCCGGGACAGGGGGGACCGATCCCTCTGCTGGGGACGCTCAAAGCCCAAATACTTTGATCGTGTGCGCTAATGACACATTGGGATGGTCAAACTCCACGCAGGGGTCAGCAGGGCCAGCGAGCCCCGGCACCACCACGGGGCCGGCTGCGGGAGGCCTGATCCTGCACCCGGATCAGGGCAGCGCCTGTATTCCTGTGTGTTGTACGCAGGAATCACAACTGTTTTTCTTTGGTATTAGCTGCAATTTCCCTTTCTTGCTTGGGGAGATTAGTAGAAACAATTTTCTTCCTTCCCCTTCTGTATTTTTTTTTTTTCTTCCTTTTGCATTGGCTGAAAATTTCACACTGAACATTAGCAGTGCAAGCACAGCGCAGATTCCTTCTATATGGTATTCCATACATCCAGCATTAATCTTCCAAATGAATTATTCCCACCCTGGAGCAGCCCTGGCTTGAAAGGGTATTAGCTAATTTCCCAAGGTAAAAATCCCGTCTTGTTTTAGACCTATAATGCCTGGATTTTAAAAAGCAGTTAGTGCATATTTAAATAACGACCAGGTTTAAATAAGGCCAGAAGGAGGGGACTGGTGGTGGCTTGAAAAACTCTAATAAATGTAATAAAAAAAGGTTAAGCATCTGAAGAGCTAAGGAGGAAAATGAAGACTGATCTAAACCAGAAAGAGAACAAGCAGTTTTTCAGATGTAAAGTTTTAAAAGAGTTGCAAGTCTGTAAATGTTAAAATAGAGGTTCAGGATTGTTCTATATGAATCTCTAGGGAGGCCCCCATGTCTGGAAGAACTATTAAAACGCTTCTTACTTTCACCTTTTTTAACATTTCCTGAATACTTTCTCCTCTTCGCAGTCCAGTTGGGGGATCAAGTGTGTCTCGCTGCATTTTTTCAGCATTTACGTAGCCACTTTCCCTTCAAAGTTTGAGCATGAAACATAATTTTACCGGGATAAATCTGTCACTTAAGTGAAAGAATAGAGTTGAAAATGTTAAGCTTTCTCCCCCCCCCCAAAGGGAAAAGAAAGGACTCCCCCAAAATGTTGTTTAGAAATTCACTTTTAAAGAAAAGAGCCCTCTTCCCCAAGCCCTTTCTTCTGCTTTTTTTATCTCATTTTTGGGGGTGGGCGTGTAAAAGGGGTTGATTTATTTTTGCAGATGACCCCTTTCCCCACGTTGACATTTTTACAGCCGACTTAACATTGAGTCCGGCGTTTTCAGTTATCTGTCTTAATTGTCAATATTTGATTGACTTTTTTTAATTCTAAGGGAAGGCGGGTGGCCGCTGCAGCCCAGCTTGTCCCTCCCGGGCCGTTCCTGCCACCGAGCAAACCACTGCTGGCTGCAGCATGGACTAAACCCTGCGAGTGGCCGGGGATGCCGGCGCAGCTCCTGGCCGACTTGCCGGTTTTGTCTGTGCCCAGGGTTTTCCGCTGGTTGGGGGTGGGGTTTGTGGGGTTCGTGGGTCGCCCACATGGGTCTGGGGGTGCAGGTCCCCGGGGACAGGTTGTCCTCATCCTCGGTGGCTGGCGGGGCTGGAGCTGCACGCTGGCTGGGCTCGTGCGGGGCGGCAAACCTGGCCGGTGGCTGTAAATCACAGCTGCCCTTTGGAGGGAAAAAAAAAAAAAAAAAAAAAAAGCCAAAAGAGAAGCAATGTGCATCTTTAAAGCGGGGTTTTGTGCTTGCTGGGGCCGAGGCCTCCCTGCTCCCTCCCTCCCTTCTCTGTCCCTCCCTCCCTCCCTGCTCTTCCTATCTCTGAGAGAAAAATCAATTCTCCTCAAACCTTTTACTGCCTCCAAGATCAATTCCCCCCCTTTCCCCAATATAGATAAATAGGGGGTCCCTGTCTCAGCGCTTCGTTTGCAGAGCGCCGTGGCTCCTGTGGCTGGTTGTGGGGGTGCTGGGTCTGTGCCAGGAGCTTTTTTTTTTACGGAGGTGGCAGCCTGGACTCAGCTCTTTGCCAAATTTCTTGGCTCTGAGTCTGGTCTGCGCCTGGCCGATGGGCTGTGGGCACAGGGTGGTTTGGGGATGGGATATGCTGCAGGGTAACGTTCACAGGAGGAGGTGCGGGGAGGGGCGCTTGTGTGTGCGGGGAGCTCAGCTTGCCTGGCAGCACCAAATCAGCCAACCCCAGCAAATTTTGGGATGCTCTTTCCATTGCTCAACTCCGCTGCTGCCAGCGCTACCTGATCCCTGTCCCCACCCTCAGTGCCATTGACCTCAGCAGTGCCCGTGATGCGAGGGATGCAGGATCAGGGCATCGCAGAGACAGAGAGGCAGCAGTTTGCTCCTAGACTAGAGCATGGTTTAGGCTCATTTTAGCTGGTACTTGTGCCCACAGCCTCCTTTTGCCATTCAAAAGCATCGTCCTGCAAAGCCACCTGCTCTAGAGCCACATCGCTGCCCTCACTGGGGCTGGCTGCCCCTGGGGCTTGCTGGTGGCTGAGCATCCTGGGGTGTAGAGATGAGTGAGCTGGAGTGGACCGCAGTCCCAAGGAACCGACCAGACCCTGTGCAGAGGTTGGAGAGAAGGAATAAGGCATCAATGGGCTTATTCCCACAGCAAGGCTATAGACTTTGTGGGCTGCGCTCTAATTACCTTGCCAAATTGCGCTTATGTCACTAGGGGCTGATGCTGGGCAAGAGGTGACGGTGGTGAGACGGGACAGTCCCAGCTGGCTTTCCAGCCCCATGGGGAAATCTTTGGTGCTTGGCACAACTCTTCTGAGGTGCAAACAGGTAGCCACCATTCCCGTGTGGGCTTCCCATGGGTCTGGGGACAGCAGCTGCAGGGTTGGGGATAAGGATGTCCTGTCCCCATCCTCCCCCTTCCCTGGGGATGGATGGTCTTTGGGCTCAGGTTCCCAGGGCAGAGGCAGGGAGGGAAGGTGACAGGTCTATTTATAGGCGGCCCATCGACCCGGTGATTTGCATAGCTCCTTCGGAAGTCGATCGATGCCTCCATTAAAAAACTGAGACCAAATCAATACGCCCTCTCGACTCGTGCAAAGGTGAAAGGCATTAAAAGGATGGCCGTACCCTTCACGCCTCCCCTGCCAGCTGCAAAGTCACTGCTCCTCCTGCAGCCCTGGTCCTGCAGAGCGGCGCGGAGCAGTGTCCCCTGGGCTGGGGACAGCTGGCAGCACGCCGTGCACTTCCAGAGGGTGCCTGCCTGCAGGCTCGCCCAGACCTGCCTCAGTTCGCAGGGCAGCTGGCTTGTTCTCCACAGGCCTGCTCGC